TATTAGTGAATGATTCCATCATTCCTCTCCTTGCCCATGCAAGAAACTTGGAAGTCATTCTAGAATCTACTTCTCTTATAATTTCACCCCATTCAAATCACAAGTCCTGTCAATTCCTCTCCTGTTTTCATGCCACTGCATAGATCAAACCCTCATCCTGCAATTCAGTCTTCCAACTGCCGATCCATCCATCCATGCAATCATTCAGCAAATGCATGCTATGCAGCTACATGTGCCATTGGAGGGAAGAACAGGCTTGTTCTCACTGGAGCTCACATTCTTGGGGCTACAGACAGCAACAACAAAATCAGCAAGATTTCAGACAGTGATAGGAGCTGTGAAGAAAATGACTGGGGAGAAGGATTTTTTAATTAAATATTGAAATATGTTTGGGGGAGGCTACTTTAGTTGGATCGCTAACAAGAAGCTATCTAGGGCACTGTTGTCTGCCTAAATACTCCATTTCCCAGCCTTCTTTAAAGAAGGGACATGTACACAGTTTTAGCCAATGAGATGCTGGTGAAAGTCAGCTGGGGAGGACGGGGGTATTCTGGGGAAGCTTTCCCTTTTCTGAAAATAAAGACAAGTATCACTGCCACAGTCCCTTCCTGGTCCTCCTGCTCCTCCTCCGACCATGAGGGAAAGGAAGGAAACACCAGGGATGCAGGCCCTGATCTAATGCCAGCAGCCGCCACCTCCAGACTTGCTATGGGAGAAAAGCAAGCCCTATTTGTTTAAGCCACTCATGGTGGGGTTTTTTCTTCCTTTCAGCAGAGCATCCTAGCTTGGCCCACTAGCCATGTGAAGATCTGGGGAGAGAAATCAGGCAGAATTCAAAGGCTCTCAAGTGGGGACTACCTTGGCATGTTTGAGGAACAGAAAAAAGATCAGTGGGGCTTATAGTGAGGGAAAGAAAAGATAAAGTCTGAGAGGCGGAGAGGGTCTTGCAACGCTTTGTAGCCCCAGGAGAGTCATCTGGATTTTAAGTTCAAGGGAGACCACTGAAGGGCTTTAGGCAGGAGAGTGACATACTCTGATTTGTTTCTTAAAAGATCATTCTAGCTATTACATGGAGAATGAATCAGGGAGTGAAGGTGGTGCAGACACTGCTTTGGGGCTGACCCCACAGCTATCCCCATCTCCTTTTGCTCTTTTTCTGGTCTCCACTGAGCGTGGATAGGCCACATGACTCCCGGTCTGGCCTGTGAGACACAGGTTGGGAGGACTTCCAAGAAAGCTTCCTTCCTGATAAAAAGGAACAGTCAACTGGTGTGGCTCTCCTTGCCTGAAATGAAAGGACGCCCAGGAGCACAGGAGCCCTCTGCAACTATGAGGCGACAGGCTAAGGCCGGCAGAGTGAAAAGACAGAAAGACCTGGTCTGGGGACTTGTTGACATTATTGAACTTCTGAATCTTGCCTATGGCCAGACTTTTTATTAGGTGATAAGAATAACTCCCTACTTGTTTCAGTCACGATAGAGTTTTCTGTTACCTGCAACTGACAGAGTGGACGGGACAGTTAGCAAAGAGACTGGGTAAGAAGTGACCGAAGCGGTGCGGGTGAGCGACAATGGTGTCTGCAACGATGATGATTATCTCCCCGTCTTTCCATTTTTGGTCTTAGTTTCCCCTAATTTGTCTTCCACACTATCACACTTTCTCAGTGCAGATCTCTTTATGAATTCCTCTTGGCTCGAAATTCTTCCATCGCCGACGTGATAAAAATCTAACACCCACTGCCTAACACACTGCACCCTTCATGGAGCACAAAGATTCCGCCTTATCCGGCATCCTCTTGCCTCTCCCCTTTGCTGTCCACACGCCTCCTAGGAGCCACACCCGCTAGTGATCACCTCCCACATGCCAGACACCGTCCATTCTTTATCTCTAATCCAAACCCTGAGAAGTGTGTATTGCGAGTCTTATTTTACAGGTGAGAAAGCTAATGCTCAAGGAACACATCTAGTAAGTAGTAGATCAGGATTTAAATTGATTTCAAAATGAAAGAGATTCACCATTCTCATGTGCCAAAAAGTCTGAAGGGAAGTGATTGCTATGCTGTTTAAGTGCTCAAAGATGTCAACAGGGTCCCAGGGTCTTCCAGTCTTCCCTCTCTGCTGCTTTAGAGGACTGGCTTTCACGCCCACACTGGTTACCTCATGGCTGCTTATCTCTAGGCATTGCATTCAGGGCTAAATCAGAAAGAAAGGGGAGGGCCACACCAGCTCACTCTGCCCATCTCCCAACCTTTGTTGTTGTTGTTGTTAAGAAAGCAAAGATTTTCCTATAACTCGCTAGTACCCTTTAACCTATAACTCATGGACACAGGGCTGCCGTAGCTGCAAGAAGGGCTGGGAAATCAAGGAATGTCATTGTTATGGTTGGCGTAGATCAATCTGAGCCCACTGCTGCACTCAACAAACCCGGAGTTCTGTTAGCAAGGAAGAAAGGAGTAACGAGGATGAGCAGGTGACAAACAGGGTCTGCCACACTATCCTGCTCAACAGAACGGAAGCGCCTGAAGTGCTCTGACTAACCCACACCTCTTCCCAGGTGTGCCTGGCAAAACTTTTCTCATCCATCACATGCCACTTTCCGTGAGACTTCCCTCGCTCTCCCAGGCAAACCTGGTGCTTTTTCTTCTACCTCCTATATTATGTGCCTACTTCAGTCATAGGTATAAAATTGCCATTATGGCCATTGATGTAATGTGATCGCTCATTCAATTATGCATGCATTCATTCTCTCCACAAATGCTTACTGAGCATTTGCTATTTGTAGACCCTGCTAGGAGCCAGGAATTCAGGAGTAAACAGGGTAGATTTTTAGGTTTGGTCCCTGCCCTAGTGGAGCTTTCAGTCTGATAGGTGAGATATGCAGGCAGGTCAGTTTAAGGGATAAGAGCCCATCTCTCCAGACCACAATCAACTGTGTGGCAGGCCTGTCTCCACCCCAAGTACCCAGCATAGCATGTCACAGGAAGCAGATGCATTATGAACATGTGTTAAACTCATTCTTTACTCAGGAAGGCTTTGAAGTGTATTTTAAATGTTATATTAAGTATTTTAAAAGAAATGCATTTCTTATTTCTGCCAGGAATGCCTCTTGCCCTCCAAGACTGAGCCATTGTATTCTTCCAGTATTAAATCATGCACTCGAGCATCTTGAAAAACACTTTGCTCCCCACCAACACACACACACACACACACACACACACACACTGTTGCAGGTCTCTTCTCCCAGGGAAGATTCTAACAGTGTCTGATACAACAATTCACATCAGAGGTCCGTAGGAGACATGTGTTTTTTGCTGAAGTCTTCATTTGGATTTTCTAAAGAAGGATCTCTCATTGTCAGTGCCATAGCTGCTGAAGTGTGATTCTGAAAGCACCTAAAATAACTCCTCAGGTTCCTATTCCACAGCTTATTACGTGTAGTCTTAATAGTTCTTTAAATGCCCTGTTTTGCTGCCCTTTCTACTACTGCAGGTGATGGCAGCTGGGAACAAGGCAGGCAGGGGCAAGGGAAATAAAAATAATACAATCCCTGCTTTGGTCTGTGCTTATGTTGCCATGGTGATGTTGACAAGTGACACGCAGGTGAGAGGTTCTTTCTACAGCGGAGCCAGTGGATTGTGGTGGCCAGAGAGGTAGGACATAAACACAAGGGACCCCTAAGCCTCCCGGGCCTGGAAAGGGCTTCAAGAGGCTAGCTGGTCCACTCCCCTGCCTCTGAACTGAAAATCGAATGGATGGGCAGCCTGTTTCTAAAACTCCTCAAGAACAAGGCTCACCATCTCTCTAGTCACCTGTTAGGTTCGTATTTCACAATATTCATGACCCTGAATGGGTTTTCTATGCCTAATCTCATGCTCTCTTGATGTCCTTCCAGACCAATTCCTCTTACTATTGCTTCTATCGAAATAAAAGTTAATCATCACCTTATACTGCGTACAGTAACCCAGGAGGGAAGAAAGAAAAGCAAACCACAGCTGAAGCGTGGACTCACTTGTTTCTGTGCCACCACAACCAGCTGTGGTCCGCTCAGGGTCACCAAACATTTTTTTCGCCAGTCTTGGCTCTGGGAGTGAGTGGCTGGGAGGGGAACAGCCCACTGACCCAACCGGAGGACCCCGGCTGCCACTGAAAGAGAAACAGGCCTGCTGCCTAATATGTCAAAGTGGGGCAGAGCAGCCCTCCCATGAAGGATGTCTTCCTCCTTCTGAGTGAAATAAAGCAGAGAGAGCAGGAAAGTCTGTTTTTAACGAGTATCTTTAAAAGCCTTTGCGACAGCAGACAGAGCCCAAGGCAGCTGGCAAACCCACACTGATGGCAACAAGGCTCTCATGCTTCCAGATGACCCTGCAAAACAGAAATGGTTCCACTAAATTAGGACTCTGGCCTTTTCCCACCTCACATTAAAAAAGAAAAAAATCTCTGTCTTCAAAATAATTTCAGGAATCATTCTGCGTAAAAAACACGTGATGGCCTTAATGTCACAGCCTGGCTTCAAGGTAAGTAAGAAAGCACCCAAGCCAAGATTCAAGGAAGGAAACTGCTCCTAAGCCTTCCAGAAGCAATGGGAACCCCCTCCCTCTCACCACCAAGGTCATAAGGGAAAGGCCACCTGCAGGAGCACCTCTTGACACTAACAGCCTTTCCCCATTTCCCTGTCGCTCTTCACCCCTGAATTACCGTACTCCCATTTCCCTTCTCTTAATCCATTTCACTAGGTTAAGATTCCTGCTACTTACCGGCTGGACCAACCCTGGGCCTCTCTTCACAGTCCCTAATACCCCAAAACCGTGTCAAGGAAACTAAACATTTGCATTAAACTTCTCTTAGTTTCTCCACCTGACTTCTTTTACACCCTGGACCAATAAACCAGTGCTTATTTTCACAGGAGTAAAGAAGCCTCTGTCTGTAAATGAGGTTAACACCCACCCCAAGGCTGGATTCTGTCTGGTCGCTCCCAACAGCTGAGCATCATGATTTTGCTAATTAAGCCACGTTCTTGTCTTTAATTAGCTGCATGTGAATCTTGTTGGGAAGTCTTGGATCCGTGAAGTAGTCTGGGATAAAAATCAAAAAGAAGAAATCATCTACAACAGAGGGGAGAAGACTTACTCTGGGAGGGAGACAGCTTACTCTGCTAAAAAGTTAGGATGGCTTGGACCTAGCAGGACTGTTACTGATGGCCCCGCTTTACTATGTAATACGGTACTATGAGATGTCACAATCCCAGAGGTCACTGCCCCCACAGGGCAGTGCTGTGTCTGCCAGCTCAAACATCCCCAGGAAGGGCTCACCCAGGATGCTCCCTCTTCCTCCACACTGTGCAGTTTGTTTCTCTGCTTCGCTGACGCAAAGGAGCCATCAGAGGGCTCAGGAACTCTCTGGGTTTTCTGCTCCCGGCTCATCCTGGGGCCCAAATAAATGCCAAGTATTATTCTTGTCTCAACTTGGCTTGCCAGCTCCTGTCTCTGAGATATCACGCCTTCTCTGAGAACACCCTCTCAGAGGAGCGCCAGGCTCTCACAAGATGACGACAGATGAGGGTTTTTATACACCCAGCATAATGTGAATCAGAGGCAGCATCTGCTGTGGCAGCAAAGGCACACTTACATTCCGTTAGAAACTGCTTGAGGCTTGAGCACGTAACCAGCTACCAACCTCCAGGGCTAACAGGACCCAAGAAATCATCCGGCCCAGCCCCTTCCCTCTAAACACCATTGACCTTAAGCCATCTTGGGCAGCTGGTCCATTAAAATCACCTGGGGAGCCTTTAAAACTATGGATGCTGGGCCCCACCCAGGCTAATTCAATAAAAATCTCTGGAGGTGGGGCCTGAACATCGGCATTTTTTAAAAGCTCCCCAGGTGATTCTAAGGCACAGCCAGGGTTGTGAGTCCTTCTTCAGGACTCCCCGGGGAAAAGGAAGCCATTATGACCCTTTGGGAATCTCAAAATTCTTAACAACCCTCACCATGAGAAAGTTCTGCCTCATTTCTTATCTGTCCTCATTTTGAGGAAATGACAATGGAGGAAAGAAGTCTCCTGAAAAAAGCTCCCCTGGGGGACATGAGGGGAAGGAGTACCCCAGACTCTGCAGGGACAATCCTGTGCTTGTCCAAGTCTAAATTCACAGCATCACTCCTTCCACTGGCTTCATCAGATACCCCAAACCTATGCTTCCTTACTCACCTGCAGCAAATTCTGGGATGTTGTCTGGTCTTTTCAAAAACACTTCTCTGGAAAACATTAAGGGACAGGGTAGGAGGTGAAACAGGCTTTAAGGCTGGCTGCAGCTACTGCCTCGTCCTGTGCTTTCATGTAGCAGATTAACCTGAGACACACCCATCTTGGGAGTCAATAAACCAAAGGATTCCTGACAAAGACCCTTTCATTCATGATTTTCCTTCCACTCAGATAGAAGGCAAGGAGCAAAGCATCCTAAATGGCAGCAAACCTAGGATGTTGCTCATTTCACAAAAAACCCGTGCTGCAGCCAGGTGGGGCTTGTCATTCACTCAACAGTCATTTCCACAGAAGCAGATACCAGCCAGGGGCGGGAGGCAAAGATGAAGAGCATGCTGCCTGTCCTCAGGGGCTCACGTGTGGTGGGACAGATATGCAACCCCGTGATGTTTCTGTTCATGGCAAGTTTAGCCACGAATTCCCCAAAGGGGGGGATGCAATAACCAAAGCTGAAACTTCAATGGTTGTTGGTTCTGCAGTACAGCGCACAGACACCGTAACACCTGCAATGCCAACGCCACTGGAGAGTTGAAAATGTCTTACATCACATATAGTTTTATGGTTCATAAAGTATATTCACAAATATTATCTCACTTCACAACAACCCTGCGAAACAGCAATTATTATGCCCCCATTCTACATATAAAGAAACCAAGCCTTCAGAAGGTTAATCATTTGCCCAAGTTCATAAAGCTAGTAATAAAGGAAAGAGGGCCCAAGTCTTGTGACTACAAGGTCAGTACTCTCTACAATGTGTTCTCTTGGTCGCAGGCTGCCCTGCCCCACCAGGCCTGCCTTACCTCCCCTGCCCAGGAAGCCCCTCCCTCCCAAGCGTCAAGAATTTTGGCCCCCTTCTCCTTCAGTTTGATAATTATTGAGCATAAATTATGTGTGAGTAATTGCACTATATATGAGGGATTGATTTTTAAAAAGATAAAATATAGATCTACCTCAAAGAACTTAAGGAACAGTTTTCAAATGTCCAAAAAGCCAAGTAACCTCTGGTAAGTGCTAAAAGAGGGGGATTAAATAGTCCTCTGGGAGATCAGAGAGGAGAGAGAAGTTACTGAGGGGGACCCCCAACATCTTCACAGAGCATTTGGCATTTGAGAGAACCCCTGAAGTACACATGGGATTTGGTAGGCAGGAAAAGGGTTGAGGGATAAGAACATTCAGATCCAGGGAAATAGCAAGAACAAAGGCCCAGAAATAGAAAGGAAACAGTTCATGCTCTATAAACTGAGACTTCCTTGAGGATAGGAACAGGGTCATATACACCTTGGTATCCCTAGAGTCCAAAAGAGCACTTGAGGGTGTCCATGCCTGGGTTCTCTGGGGTTGGCGGAATGATCAGAGAAGTTCGGTCTGGCTGGAGTAAGGGGCTCATGCAGGGAGTAGTGGGAGACAGAGAAGGTTCTACTACAGAGGGCGCTGACTGCCAGGAGAGACATTTACACTCAACTGAAGACAATGGAAATGGATAAATAAACATGGCATACTCACACAATGGTACACAGTAGTGAGAATGGAGGATATCTACAAGATACTACAGAGCAAAAGAAGCCAGGCACAAACGAGTACGTATTTGTAGAATTCCATTTATACAAAAAGGCAAAACAAATTTGTGCTGTAGAAGTCAGGATACTGGCTACTGTTGGGCGAGTGACTGGAAGGAGTCACAAGGCACGTGAGGTGCAGATAGAGGTCTGTGTCCTCATCTGGACACTAGCACCACGTGAGCTTCAGCTTGTGGAAGTTCATCTTACTTAGGATGTGTCACTGTTTGGTATGATATATTTTGATAGAATGTTTAAACACACAAAAAAGGGCAATGTCGTGGTGCCACTGAAGATTTTTCCAGCCAAGGAATAATATGATCAGTGCTGTATTTGGGGAATATTCATCTGCCTGAGTGTTTACAAAAAACATCTAATAACAGCTTTCTACAATTTCACCATGGCTATCTTATCTTCAGCCCTAAACCTGAGGTTTCCAGGTACCAAAAATTAGTTAGATTCCTCCTTTTTCCATTTTTCAGGTCCAAAATTCAAGATATTAAGAGATCTGTACATGGTATGTCTGGGTATAGACTGGAAAGCTGGAGCTGAATGGCCATAAATCATCAGGATCAAAAAACCCTAGTGGGAAGTTCACTTCCCAACAAGAATGCTTCAGAGCTGCTCATGGATTGAAGTGAGTCAAGAGCAAAGCACTGCAGAACAGACAAGGACAGGCGTGCCGCTGAGGACTCTGTCCTCTCTTCTCCCATCCTCTTTTTTGCAGGAAGGACTGTGTGAAGTATCCAGCATGGATGAAGGGCTGATTCTGGTTCATCCTGGTATCACTCAAAGGAAATAACAATAACACCAAACAAACAAATAAAAGTGAATCCTCAAACTTCAAACACTAAGTCCCTTGCATCCTCCGCCCAGGAAAGGGAAAGGCCTAGCAGGGGCCAGGAGGACTTCAAGTAGCTTCAGGCACAGCAAAAGGAAAAGCCTGGTAGCCTACCTGGTCTTGGGAGGGGGATGGTAAGAAAGGGAAGGGAAAGTGTCTGAGGCTGTCCCCACAGCAGCCAGGCCCAGACACCCAGCCTCCTGGGAAGGACTGAAACAATACCCTCTTCATTCACCACTCCCAAATGTTCTAATCCTGTTGTTTGTGAACAATGCAAACTTTGATTTAATTCAGGCATTCTGAATTTAATTCTACCTCCAAATCTCTCTGCAGGAACTATTCCTACCTTGTATTGCAAGCTCCCCAGGATAGGAACAATGTCATCTTTATTACCCTTTAGAAGAAAAGGTGCAAAAAGTGATGGCTTGATCCTTAGGTCTGATATTGACAGAGGACCCCTAAGCTATCTTTTGCTCAAGCCTTACCAGTGGCCCAAATAAACCCAGCCTTCACAGAATAACTGGATAGGTTTCTGTTTTTCCTGTCTCTTTCCCCTGTCTGCCCCTCTGAGAGTCTGCTGCCACTAGGAGAAATAGCTAAAATATGAATAGTGAGATCCAAGAAAAAAGGGGCCTTGAAAAAAGACACCCCCACGGATCTACTTTTGAGAAGACAAAGGAGAGCCCCACCTTTGGCTGTAAGCACAATCCACAGACTAGGGGGCTGGGGACTGTGTGTTTACAGCATGATACAGTAGAAAAATCAGGTGTTTGGACTCTGGTTCAGCAACTTGAGGAAGGTACTTCACCACTCTGAGCTTAACTTTTCTCACCTGTAAAATGGAAATGATCACACGCTATCGTTTGCAGAGTTGCGGGGAGGATCAGCAAAAATGTGCCAAGATGGCACACACTGCATAGACACTGGGGACACAAACATGGCTCCACCAGCTTGGAGCTTTGGACCAGTAACAGAAACAGAAGATTGACAACGCAATTACAATACTGTGTGATAACTGCTAATGTAGGGAAACAACACAATGCCTGGAAATGGAAGCCATTAGTGTTATTTAAACCTTGCCTATTTGTCTATAACCAAACAGTATTTAGGATAGCTCTTCTGATTTCACACATTGCTGCTCGTGATGTTTTGTTTTTTTTTTTCTTTTTGCCTCAGTTCTTTGCCTTTCATCCCATTAGTAGATTTTTCCATTCATGCAAATATAAGGCTGAAAGGCAGTGGTATAGGAGAAGGAAAGAACATGCTCCTGGAAAATGGTATTTCCCCCCAAGGAAAGAGTAGCTTCCCACCACTGGGTTTTTCTACAACATTGTTCTCCTGTAGGGAAGGGCCAGACATCTGAATTTTTTTTTTTTTAAGTTCTACTTGTGATCTTGTTAAGCTCCTCTGGCTAAGAATAGTGTTCTACACCCAATGGCTGCCTGTTGGGTTTCTCGATGCCAAATTCCTTCTTCCAAGTGTTGTACGGTTTTTATTTATCCCCCCAGTTAAAGTGAATGAATGTTAATATTTTTAAGAATTTAGAGATACCTGAAGAAAATCTTGGGTGCCACAAATCCCAGAATTAGAAAAAAAATCAATCTCAGAATATTTTCTAACTTTTAGTAAGTGAAAAGCAATAGGGGGTGTTTAAATAAAGAAGGAGACACTTGTATTCTCCAACAAGGTTTGGTAAAATTTTCCACTAGTTGCCCAAGGCCGGTCTGGAAAACCACCTACCTGAAAAAACTACCTATGAGCAACTCTACTTCTTTGTGAGTCCTTAGATACTTTTCGTTAGCAATCCGAGTCTGAACCTGGGGAACAAAAGCAAAGGGTCACGTTCCCTGAGGAGACCGATTCAGGCTTCAACCCTGGAGGTGTGAAGGGCTTGGGGGGACAACGTGAGCATTTAACCAAGGTCTTTTCCCAGAATGCTTGAAAATTTAAGCCGTCTATCTTCTTACAGATTCAACATCTCTACGCCGCCTCCTGCTCAGGCCTAGGGGTCTTAACTGAGGTCGCATTCCGACCGTCGGTAAGTTCTTGTCTGTATCTAACTTGATGTATCTGGCAGTAATTTCGGCCCATTTCTCTGGCCGGATCCCGGCTTTAGTCCTTCCTGCACTTTCAGATGCCCGTCGGGCCCTGTTTAGGCCCAGAAGCCCGGAGGATCACTGGGGGTCTCTCCTTTAACTGGAAACAGGCTTCCGCTCCCCCTCTCTCTGCAGACCTCCTTCCCGTCTGGGGCCCCTGTCCCGCGGGGGCTGCACTTTGATAGAGGCGGGCGCACCCACCTTGAAGTTTCGCAGCTGCTCCAGCTGCGCTGGACTCAGCGGCCCGGGGTCTCGCTCCAGCAGCCCGCCCTGCAGCGTCGCCATCTTGTTGAGGTCGTCAAGGCGACCGTCCGCGGGCTAGGAAGGCCCCGCCCCCGTCTCCGCCCCGCCCCAAGTCCGGGCCCAGCCCCGCCCCAAGTCCGGCCCTCTTCAGCAAGGGGTGAACCCCGGGAGGTGTCTGAATAAGGATCTCCTTTCCCAAATTTGGGGACTAATTTCTGGGCATAATTGTGTATGGAATAAGCCTTAGCTCTTGACTCCACTCAACCCCAAATACTTTTTTTCTTATTTCTAGAACAAAACAGGAAAAGAAGTTCGTAAGGCAGGGTCTCCCAGAATCGAGTTCCTGACTCTCTCACTTGGGCGGAAGCTGGAGAAAGCCTAGTGCTGGGGAAGGAGAGTCCAGTCTTCCTCCCTTTCCACTGGCCCAGAAGCCAACCTTTGCACTTGTCCTGTAGACACTTGACACTGAAGTCTTGGATTCTCAAAAACAAAATGAAAGCACTGCAGAACACTCAGAGTAAACTGAGTTTTGCAAAGGAAGGAACCTTCTTAGACTAAAGATGCTGGAAAGGACCTGGGGGACATCCTGCCAGAATTTCCCCTCTTGGACAGAATTTCTTGTGTAGATTTAATTTTGTCTTCACCCTGGGCTCTTTATAAATTCTAAATTATTTTCTCCCACTCCCAATTGAATAGGAGAGGAGAAAGGGAATTGGTCTTCAAGATTTGTTCTTCTAGTATTTAATTAAGAAGGGAAAATGAAACATAAAGCCAGAGAGCTGAAAATAGCTGCTGGGTAAGTGCAGAAGCCTGTCTGTCAATACACCGATGTTGAGATTCTACCCCTACAGGGACTGTGCCCAGCAGAGGCCTTCTGAGAAGCAGAAGAGGAGAACCCAAAACAGAGCCTGTCTTTTCAGATTTGTGAACAACTGCCCCAAGGAGCAAGGAAATAGCATGAGAAACAAGCTCAGCATTAGGCCATGGCCTTGGGGTGGTCTCTCAGTGGACCGCCACTATCCTTCCCAACAAAGACTGAGGAAAAGAAGTGAAAATGTTGGCAGTTCCCAAGGCAGGGAAAACCACAAGTGGTTAATTAGGTAGTGGGCTGAAAGCCTCTTTGCATCCCAGTTAGTGATCATCTGGGTTGTTTGTCTGTTTTTTAGGACAGAGTTAATAGAGTAAGAGGGCGATAAGCTGCCATCTGTCAGAAGTGGGGTTTTTTTCGGGCAGGAGCAGAGGTTAACCAGAGGTGATATTTCCTGTTGGCCAAGACCTGTTTCTTCCAAACCCACACTCCCCAGAGAAGCTAGTGGTGGAACCTCTAAAGCGGCACCAGCAGATATGGTCACCGTCAGCCACCTGTGGCTCTTGAATATTTGAAATGTGGCTTTAAGTGTCAATGTGCTGGAAATGGAAAATATACACTGGATTTTGAAGACTTCATATGAAAAACGTAGCATAAAATATTTCATTAATAATCTTTATATGAGGCCGGGCGCGGTGGCTCACGCCTGTAATCCTAGCACTCTGGGAGGCTGAGGCGGGAGGATAGATTGAGCTCAGGAGTTCAAGACCAGCCTGAGCAAGAGTGAGACCCCATCTCTGCCAAAAATAGAAAAAATTAGCCAGGCGTGGTGGTGTGCGCCTGTAGTACCAGCTACTTGGGAGGCTGAGGCAGGAGGATTGCTTGAGCCCAAGAGTTTGAGGTTGCTGGGAGCTAGGCTGATGCCACGGCACTCGCCTGGGCAACAGAGTGAGACTCAGTCTCAAAAAAAGAAAAAAATCTTTATGTGGATTACATGTTCAAATAGTATCATGGATCTATATCAGGCTAAATAAGATGTATTATTAAAAGTAATTCACTTGTTTCTTTTTACTTTTTTATTGTGGCTACTAGAAATTTTAAAATTATATATGTGGCTTTTGTTGTATTAGTGCTGGAGTCTGGACCAGCAAACCTACATACATACACACACACACACACACAGACACACACACACACACACACGCATGTATGTACAATGCTTTTCATCCCCCCACCCCCTTGCATAAAATAATTGATGTCCTCCTCTGCTAGTCTATGATCTTATGCTTTGGAAACAATCAAGCCCTTCTTGACTGATCACATCCTATGGTCCACATACCCATGTATGAGAGAGGCTGTTTTTATTTTCTTAACAGCATCTCAGTACTCACTATTGCATATTGTGTTGGCCTGTCTTACCTCCCCACTTGAGGTGGAAGCCACTTAAGGGCAGGAAGGTTATATAATCAATTCTCATAAATTCTGCTGCAGATGTCTTCGCTCTGTATTCAATCAGTGAAGGCAGCAGGAATTTGATGTCTAGCCACTCTGCTCACACATACCACCACATTTTGCCCTTTCTGAAAAATATCTCAATTATCCAGCATTTCTCATTTCCTAAGAATCTAAAACCAGGATCAGAGCTCTCCCTTTATAAATTAAATAATCTTTTTATGTAGGGCAATGTAGCTTTAACTGCAGAGGAATAAGAAAGAGGGTGAGCTTGAGGATGGTGGGCAGAGAAAATATCTTGGAGGAATTAGGGCTTAGAAGCTTCATTCCCTCCTTGAAAGACACTCCCCAGAATGGACATCTGAGTCATAGGTTTTTTTCCCCTAGTCTTTACCTCACAGGGCTCCCATCCCCCATGGTCTGAAAGAATATCAGAGCTGTGCCCACAGTCACTCAGCAAGGAGGGTCTGATGAGAGGTCCCACCTCTTCTCCCCTAACCCCTGCCTCTCTCTCAGACTGACACCTTCAATTGGGGACCACAAACTAAGCAAAGGATTGGAGGCATTTTGCTGCCGCAGCTGTCTCCCCAATTACTGATGGGAGGAGGAGTGAGGGGAGTTCATTGTAATTCATTTTTGTGAATGTTTAATATTTCAATTAATATGATTAGCCCAAAGCTGGAATGAGCAGCAGGGCGGCAGATCTGCTGAGAAGACACAGAGTAATGAGATCAACCATGCCATGGGGTCTTCCCCTTCTCCATCCTCAGAGGGCGTGATCTGTTTAGCATCTCCATAAATACCAAGATCAGATTAGAAGGCAAGAAAAGGAGCAGTGGGGGCGGGGTTTGTGAGTGGAAAGTTACTCTCAGAGTGTATTTGCCCTTCTTAATTTCCTGGCACTGCCATCACCCCTTCTAAGCACCCACCGACTACCTCCCCCTACTCCCTCCCACACCCCAGGGGGCCCTACTAGGAGGACCTGGGCATCCACTTGATGAAGTATAATCAAGTTTACGCGCACACACTTCACTCAAACTCACGCGCCTGCCACAGTGTGGCTCCAGGCCACAGAAACCCAGACTAAGGAAGGAAGCTGGTCAACAGAGAAATTAAGCAGTAGAAAGAAGGACTCTTTCCCAGTGCTTAAATGAAGACAGAAGAGGTCCCTTTTCTTGGTTTCCTCATCTCTATTTGGAGATAATGATAGAATCTACATCGTAGGGGGAAGGTGAGGGTTTATGGAGTTAGTAAATATAAAGCACTTGGAACAATGCCTGGGACACTTTAAGAGCCACACGATGATGAGCACTGACTGTTACTATTATTTCGCTTCCAGAAAAGGAGGCTGCCTGCTGCGATAGTTTAGGAATAGAGACCGCTGGGTTTCTGTTGGGACGTGTTTCAGAGACCCCAGTGCCACTGTGGAGACATCAGCCCCACCCTGGGTTGAAGGAGGGAATGGCAGGGAGGCCAGGAGCCCCAGTGGAAAGCAAGGGCTGCCACCTCCGAGAAGGTGTGATGTCAGCAGATACCGCCTGCTTTGGGGGGTGCTCTGAGTGGGCCCAGTGCATGGAGGGGTCCAGAGAAGTGTAGTTGTTTAGGGGAGTAATGGCCCCCAAATGCGCTTTCCCCACCCCTCTTTGCTGCCAGACTCAATGAGAGAGTCCCACTCAAGGAACCCAACTGAAGGGAAGAGCCGAGGAAGGAGCGATTGGGTTTCTGTGTCCTAAAGGAGAGCATGACAGCTGTGGTTCTTACTGAAGGAATCAGTTATCTACTCTTGTCAGAGGTTCTGTGCATGAAGTGTCTTAAGGACCTACTACGCATGAGCAAAACACGGTTCTAGACACTGTGAACTGTAAAAAACTGAATTAAACGGTGTCCTGGTCTTCAAGGAGCTTGTAAGTGAGAGCTCCCGCTGCTGCCGCCTCTGCCACCTCCCTGCCCACGCTCTTCTACACACAGACACCCCAGAGGGAGAGAAGGGCGCGTGAAACGCCAGAAAGCTGTAGTTTTTCTTGGTTCCTTTTCTGGAAAATATACAGTTCTCTTTTTGCACTCATCCCACCCTGCCTTCCCTTTCCCCACCTCCTTTTCCATTTTTCCTCTCGGGGTCTTTTGCTCGTCCCCCTCAGACTCTGCAATCTGCTTCCCTCCCCATCTTCGCCTCCCTCCTTCCCCTTCAACCTGTCCAACTGTGCTGTCCCATTTTCTTTCCCCAGATTTCTTTCCTTGACTCCCCACTCTCGGGCTCCCCAGATGTCGGGCTCCCCTCTTCCCCCCACCCCCATCTCCCGAGCCTTCTCTTCCAGCACCGGGGACAGCTCCAGCCCCCGGAACAATGGACCCCACCTTAGGGCTCCTCTATAAATTCTCCATCTTAGTGCCTTGCCCAACTCCTGATTGGGGAGTAAGATGGGGGAAGGGGTGTTAGCAACAGGACGAGCTGCTCTTCTGGGGGCAGGAAGGGAGTCAGGGAAGATGAAGATAGAAAGAGGGCGTGGCTCTTGCCTGGATCATGCGTCCCTCTCCAGGGTAGAGAATTTGTATTCCACCCCTGAGACTGACATCACTGATGTCAGGGGAAAGGAGGTGGGAGTGGGGAGGGGGGTGTGGAGGGGGGAGGTTTTTGTTGAGGAGAGCGCGGCCGGAGAGCAGAGCTCCGGGACCCAGGTGACCGGGAAAGCAGGCAGCCCCGCAGCGGGAGCAGCCAGCAGCAGCTCAGGCCCGGGGACGGGGTGGGGTGGGAGGGGGGCTGAGGGGAGGACCTGAAGGGGGGCGGCAGGGCAAAAGGGACCCCCGGAGCCCTGCCGCCATCAGAGATCAAGCATCTGGCATCAGGGATCTTCGGACCCAGGAGAAGGATCAGCCACAGGGAAGGTGTCCTCCCCAGGGAAGCCAACAAGAGAGCTACCTGCCCCCCATCAGGAGTGGGCTCCTCACTGACGCTGCTGGCAACCATATCAGGCCCCTTAACCCCTCAGTCTCCTCCCCGTCACCCTCCTCAGGCCCTTTCCCTGCCTCCAGCTCTCGTCTCAGCAGCCAGTTCCCAGCCCTCTCAGCCCCTGTGCCCTGCTACCACCTAATCCTCCAGGTCTTGGCCACACTGACCCCCATCCTGGGACATTTGCCAAATCTCGGGGAAGGAGATCATTTGTTTGGCTATGCCCCCTGGTGGCATGACAGTGTCTGCCTAGACCCCTGACCCCTAGCCCTCAACTCCCCAGGCCTCCTTTGTGTGAACAGCCACCCCTTTGCTCAGCAGTGTGGTTGGGGGCCAAAGGGAAAGCCAGCCCCGGCTGGGCCCCCGGCCCCCACCACTTGCCTCCTTGTTGGGCAGCTCCCCCTGGCCTTTGGGCCTCTCCCTGCTCCCCTCGGCCCCTCCTCCTGGGCCGCCCCAATGAAGGAGCCAGATGCCATCAAGCTGTTTGTGGGGCAGATCCCGAGGCATCTGGAGGAAAAGGACCTGAAGCCCATCTTTGAACAGTTTGGTCGGATCTTTGAGCTGACTGTCATCAAGGACAAGTACACCGGGCTGCACAAGGGTGAGGGGGCAGGCAGGCTGGAGAGGCTTCAGGGGGTGGGCTGGGAGGCTGGGAGGATGGGGAGCCAGGCTGGAGGGATGGAGGCACTGGGAAGGGGCTGTTACGGATGGAGAAGAGTTCAAGGCTAGGGAGTGTGGATGGAGGAGCTGGAAGGGAACTCAGGTAGAGTGACCAGGGAACTCCAGGGGAAAGGACTGAGGAGGGCGTCTTTTGGGTGAAGAGTTGTCAAGACGGCTGCAAAGATGCGGATCCCAGACGTGGGGGGATGTTGATGTAACGGGATGAACTCAAGAAAAAAACAGAAGAAAAAGAGAGCTGGTTTGGTAGATAAGGAGCTGGGCAGGCGTGTGTGTGTGTGTGTGTGTGTGTGTGTGTGTGTGTGTGTGTGTCTGTTGAGCAAGACTGAGAGTCTGAGCAGCCTCAGATAATATTGAGGTGAGGGTCGGGACACGGAAGCAGGGGCTTGAGGCGGAAAGAGTGGAGATGGGCTGGGCAGGGCAGCTCCAGGACTGAAGAGAGGGACCTCAGAAGCAGGCGTGAAGGATAGAGATTGGTCCAGATCTGGGAAGTGTGGGGGACTTAGAAAGTTCAGAGAGCTGAGGGAGAAGGGAGGATGCTCCTCAGGCCTATCCGAAGGCAGCGCGGCCAAGCTGGGGCGCCGGGGTAAGGACTTGGACCGCTCCATGCACGGGGATCTGAGGGGCCACACTAGCGCCCCCTCCACCTGGCCCAGGGAAAAGGCTCTTCCAGCTACCTGCTCTTCCCTTTCCTTCTCTGTTCCACTCTCCACCCTCCACCTGCCTCCCGTGGAGTTGGGGAGAGATGAGGAAACAGGGAAAATGGGTGGTGAGCAAGATGGAGGGAGGTGGAGGCGAAGGAGAAAGGGGAAAGGAGAGCAGCCAGGGAAGAGAGGGAGCGGCTGCCGTGCTTGTCTGGAGATCACATGCCCCTTCTCCTCTCCCCACACAAAGCTCCCTCTTCCACCGCCACCAGCATTCGGCCTCCGGGTCTGTGCTCCTCTTCCGGGGCAGGGTGTCTACCCGCTGTCAGACACCTCCCTACCCCAGCAGGCAGAGGATGGCAAGAAGGGAACCGCTTCCCAGTCCTCTGTCTTGTGGGGGCCCTTTAGGGAGGGGACAAGGTGACTCACCCCCGCCCTGTCTCTCTGCCCCTGGCCCTCCTCAGGATGTGCCTTCCTGACATACTGTGCCCGCGATTCAGCCCTGAAGGCCCAGAGCGCCCTGCACGAACAGAAGACACTTCCAGGGGTGAGTCCTGTCCTTTGCCGAGAAGGGGCCTTTCCAGGGGCTAAGAAGGGCCATGGAAGGGGCAGGAGGCTCGCCACTCTCCCGAGACTCTGAGGATATTTTCCACCTTCTCTCAGCACCAGCAAGTTCTTCTCTCTTTCTGGCATCCGTCTTTCTTGCTGGAGATGCGTGCACTTCCTCTTACCTGGACAGAAGGAAAACAGAGATTAGCAGAGTAAACACGGCGTTTACAAGGAGCCCCGTCCCCACTTCCCAGCCTGCCCGTGGGCAACACTGAGGGAGGACTGAGCTGGTTGGGAGGTGGGGGAAAGACTGTGGACACCAAGCATGGGTCAGGGTGAGCAGGAGGCACCCAGGCACTCCCTTGGCTCTGGAGAGGAAGTCTGGAAATGAAGGCTGGGTGGCTGCAGGGTGGGGGAGGGGCACTGCTGGACTGAGAACAGGCAGCTGAGCCAGCTGGACTGGCATCTTGGTGCTGGTTCTAAGCTCAGACGGGCTCCCCACATCTCCCAGAAGAGCCCTGGAAGCGGAGCCATAGGGCACCAGGGAAGAGCAGGGCAGGGCTGGGCTGGGCTGGACGTAAGCCCAGGGGCAGCAAGCACATGCAGGGGCAGCTGTTACAAGGGACCTGGCCTGACCCGCACGTGTGCCCAGGGCATGAGGGTGACCTCTGATGTGGCCTCCCTCCTGCAAGGTCGTATCTCTTTGTTTCTTCTTCTCTTGTGGACTGTCCCAAGCCTGGGCTGACAACCGAGGGCAGGAAGCTTGGGGGAAGGACACCCACTCCCCTTTGTTAGCATCTGCTCCTGTTTTCCCCCAGACCGTGAATCCCAGGAAGTACTTCCTGAGATCTAACTCCCTCCCCACCTTCAGCAAACATTTGCTCAGCAGGGTCTGGGTACTCAAGACACATCTGTCCTGGCCTCTGCTCCTTCTGTCCCGTGGGAAGTGGAGAATGATGCTGGTCACCCATCTCCTCTTCCTGGGAGGGAAATAGACAAAACAGATGGGGAGGGGGAGAATGTAGGAAAATTAGAGCTACTTCAGCCACCCCCAACTCGAAACTCTTCATAGATCCATGACCCAGCCCTCCTTGGCCTCAACCTTTGAGTACCATTAGGAAAGCAAATCCACCTCTAGCAAACCCACTGACAACCCCCCACAACTATCTTATCCCAGTGGGTGGCAAGAACAGCCATTGCCCACCCATCTCTCTTGGTCTTGAGTTTCCGTTGGCCTGAGTTAAAGGCTCGTGCACATGTGTGTGAGTGGCTTGGGGATCCAAGGCGAGTGTGTGTTTGTGATGCACGCATGTGAGCTCCTGACAGGCCAGATGTGTAGGGGTGTGGGCACAGGCATGCCTGGGAAGCCTGGTCCCCATTGAGTCCCAACTTTCTTTTCCCTCCTTTTCTCTATGGAGGTGACTCACAAATTGACAGTTTTTATCTCCACTGCTGTTGGTCTTTTTCTGTTGTCTTCCTGGCTCAGAGCCACTGCAGAAAGCAGAGGGGTCAGGGGAAAAGATAGAAAAGGGGACTGGAGTGGGGACTTGGATGTGAGAGGTGGCCTGGGGGAGCCAGTGTCTCCTCTGGGTCTGTGCCCTCCAGCTGCCTGGCAGCTCAGGCAGAGCTGGTCCTGGGGGTGGGGAGGCGCCGCCTGCCTTTCCTGAGGAATCAGGCCTGGATGGGGGTGGGGAAGGGCGCCGGGTTAATGATTGTCTAGCCTCCTCTACAGCTCCCAGGTGATGCTGAGTTCTCCACTTTGGCCCTTGCCCCAGGGAATAGAATCTAGAGACCTGACAGAGCTTCCAGTAGGAAATGAAGGGTTCCATCCTCCAAGGGGAACCCCCATACTAGGGGTTCGAGGGAGCAGACCCAGGGCGGTCAAGGGGAGCAGGTGTCTGAGACTAAGCCCCGCCTGATCCTTTGTATCTCCCAGGTCTTCTCCTGCCACCTGCCTTCTCCCCTCAGTCTGGGTGTGTGTGTGTACAGTGTGTGTACAGTGCGTGAACAGTGTGTGTACAGCGTGTGTACAGCGCGTGTACAATGTGTCAGCTCCTGCACAGTTGCGTTGGGAAGTTCTTCCTGCCTTCTCATCTCCGTGGCATCCTACTGCAGGTGTTTTTAGTGGGGGCATTCAGCCTTCTCGCCTTGCTCCCCATCTTTATCACCCCGGAATCTAGAAGGTATCACCATATTAGGGTGATGTTTGGGCTGCAGAGGGAAAGAATGGGGCTGGGCCTGCGGCTGTTGAGGCTCATTTCCTCCTTTTTCCCCGTAAGAGCTCCCAGGAGTGACTCTGCCATGGGTCCCCGGATTTGTCCTGTGAGCAGGGTGTGACCTCCTGGAGACAGTGGTGTGAGGGACGCCCTCTGTCTGGCCTACCCTCCCCCTTCACTCTGGACCAAAACCCCTCTGGGGACATGGGCCTTCCCTGTTAGCTTGCAGCTGGGAAGGTGGATTCTGGCCCCGTGGAGGGGACCTGTGTATGGTCTGGGCAGCAGGAACAAGTGTGGAGCCAGGAATGGCAGGGTCCAAGGCCTGTGCCCTAAAGAGAATTAGATTTTGTATGAACCATGAGATCTTCTTGGAAGTGAGGTCTTTGCTATTGGTGAAAAGGCTGAGGGGCTTGCAAGAGATCACGCTGGTGGAGGTTGCTCAGCCACACTGGGTTGGGGTAGAAATAGCCCCTTCTTCTTTGGGAGGCCCTAGGGAGGGCTTATCACCTGCTGGGTGGTAGCTAGGGAAGAGAGGTACTGGTGCCCGGTTGCCAGGTAAACAGGGCACAGCTGGACTCAAGGGAGGTGGGCAGGTGTGCCCAGCGGAGTTAACAAAGCCTGAGCTTCCCACAGGAAGTGCCAGGCCAAGGAGGAGGCCGGGAACAGGCACTGGGACACCAAGGGGGCCTGTCTGTGAGGGTAGGGGGAGCATCCTGTCAACGTGGTCCTTGTGGTCTGCACACGTGTGTGTATCTTTGTGCAAATCCACATCAGCTGTGGGTATTTATTGATATGCTATTTTTGTGCCTGGGAGCCTGTGCAGGGAGGGGACTGCGTCCTTTCTCTCTGGGTCCCCCATCTCCAACTGGAGCAGCAAACGCCCAGGGGCTTGTTGGGAAGGGGTTAGCACCAAGCATAAGAATCCCCACGACACTACGACCCTGGTTGCAGTTCTACCTCTCCTGGGGTGGGGGTGGGTGCCCGTGAGGGAATTTCCTGATTGCTTTGGGTAGAGTACAGGAGAGAAGGAGCAGGAAGGCCATGAGCTCTGGAGCGCCCTGGAACGTCTGACCCCCACTCTCTGCCTCGCTCATGCACGCACATGCACTCCTAAGGAGATTGAGCCTCGCATGGGATAATCCCAGATTGGTGGGCGATAAAGCTGGGGGCAGATTGGCTGGAGGATTTGTGCGACTGTTACCCTCCCTCCCCACCAGCTGCTCTCAGATCCAGAGACCTGGGAGGTGGGGCCCTGGGAAAGGAGTATCGGTTGAGGTGGGCTTCAGATTTGATCCACGCTGGGACTGGCAGAACTGGTCCAGGCATGATCTGAAACCTGGGAAGAGGGTCCAGGGTGAGAAGGGGCAGGGGGCAGCTGTTACTTGTGCACTCCTCCGTGCCAAGTGACGCCACGCGAGATCTCCAAGTGCTAGAGCGCTGGAGCTGAAGGGAACCTGACTAGAGAGGGCCTGGGCCACCCCCTTGTCTTATAGATGAGGAAGTCGTCTCTCAGAGGAGACAAGTGACTGGTCCAAGGTCACCCAGCTAGTGCGTGGCAGGGCAGGGCCCGTTCTTGAACCCAGGTCTCCTGACTCCCAGGGCAGTGCCTTTCCTGACGGTGCCTCAGAATATAAATGGATGGTTTGTTTTCACTGTTTTGGTAGTAGGACTGCTTCACCACCAGATGAGGGGGGCAACCAGGTGTGGTCCTAGAGGTCAAAGTCCTCAATAGTAAAATATTTTCAGACACTTAAGACTAAGTTCTCCTCCTTTTCCAGTTCCTATGACGCTCCCCACCCTGGTTAAGGAAATCAGCCTGTAGGAGTAATTTCCAAGTCCTCTCACCAGACAAGAACATGGAGAGTGAAACTAGGAACTTCTCCATTCCCACTGAAGACTGAACAAAGGGCAATATTGCGGGGGTCAGGAAGAGGTTAGAGCTCTGGAGGACTTCCGTGCACAGGGCAAGTTTCGAAGGAGCGTGGGACAGCATCTCCTCCCTTAGATGCCTCCGGACACCAAGGATTTGCTCTGGAGGAAGGAGGCAGGAGAAGGGCCAGTATGGTCCCTGCAGGGCCTCCTCTGCAAGCCTCCCTCCAGAATCAGGAAGCTTTCTTGGGCCCCTCCCCCACCTCCCAGCCCCCACCAAATCCTCCACCCCCAGCATACCCTGTTCCCACCCCCCCCCACTTCTTCTCCGGGTGTGTGGAGCAGCAGAAGTGATGACGTCACCATGGTCGCCAGGGCGACGGGGACGGATAAATCAGGCTGAGTGGGTGGTTGCCATGGTGCGCATTCTCCCGTTGCCACGGAGACTGGGCATCTGCTCCCTTTGTGCTGCCCGAGTGCCTTCCCCCTGAGGTCAAGGGGTATAGGGGGGCAGAAAGAGAGGCAGATACACCTCTAGGGGTCAGAAGAAAGTCTGGACGTCTGTGGGGTCTCCCTTAATCTAGAGTCCTCCTTGGGGCTTCTTCATGGGGTGGTCTCTGTGGCTGCTACTTTGCAGAATTGAGGCAATTATTAAACAGCCCCTTGGGTGGACTCTCTCTGGCCCTGGGTCCTGTGGGCAGGGCTCTGCTCCCCCAAGAGAGCAACACTTCCCCCTGGCCAAGTTGTCTGGAGCCCGACCGAAGCCTGGAGCTGAGCCCCGTGAGCATCTTCCTCTACGTCCTCTCTCTCCGCTGCCTCTGGTCCCCTCAGGCCCTAATCCTAAAGCTCAGTGGGCCCATCCCTTCCTTCCCAACAGGAACTTAGAGGCCTGTGCCTGTGCTTGCTTCCCTGGCCTCTCTGAGGGCCCTGGCCTAGGGGCACTCTGGGGTGTTCAGAGGAGGCCCCAGCAGCTGCCTTCTCTTCTGTCTTTTAGATGAACAGGCCGATCCAGGTCAAGCCAGCCGACAGCGAGAGCCGAGGAGGTAGGTTCTGTACCTCTAGACTTGGTCCCTGTCCTCCCACCCTCAGGTCCAGGGCTTAGAGTAGCTGAGGGGCAGCCTTTCTTATAGAGGAAAGTCTGACAATTCTGAAGAGTTCCCAGGCAAGGTGGGGGCAGGAGTCGGTGTGGCCAGAGAGAGTGAGATCTGGACCATTGTAGAGATGGGAAAACTGAGGCCCAGAGTGGCGTGCAGGTCCTTCAGAGCTGAGATGAGTGCTCTCTGTAACTGCACCCCGTTCCCCAACCGTTGCCCCTTTCACACCCCGGAGACACGAGTCCCCAGGATGGGGGAAGTAGTGTCAGGAGCTCCTGGGAGGAGCGGAAGCTGAGGGCTGGGAGAGCAGCCAGGAGGCTCTGAACATGCCCTCCTCCTGCGCCTACCCCCAGAAGACCGGAAGCTCTTTGTGGGGATGCTAGGGAAGCAGCAGACAGATGAGGACGTCCGGAAGATGTTCGAGCCTTTCGGGACCATAGACGAGTGCACTGTGCTCCGGGGACCAGACGGCACCAGCAAAGGTAGCCGGCCGCAGGCCCTCTCCCCACGGGACCTTCCCCACTGGCTCCCTAGGCCACAGGTTCCGCTGTGAGTCCCTCAGGGGTGGGCGCCCACCCCTTTCCTCCTGCATCTCCACCGCTCCAGGCTGTGCCTTCGTGAAGTTCCAGACCCACGCGGAGGCCCAGGCAGCCATCAACACCCTTCACAGCAGCCGGACCCTGCCGGTGAGCCCTGTCCCACCCCCCGGCCTCTGCTTCCCCCGCCCCCACCGGCCCACCGCCCAGCCCACTGCACAGGGGGGCAGTCCGCTCAGGATTGCACTTGGAATTTACTGGAAAGGAATGTTCTGGCAGAAGAACTAACCCGCGTGGACACATCCTCACTTTTCAAATAACATTCCCCCCGCATCGCCCCCATCCCTGTCCTTCATCTTCAGTACGAATTCTCTGACCCTCCACTCCTGCCTCCTCCAGTCCTCAGCCCTCCCTTCACCCCATCTCCTCCCCTGCCTTCCCGTACGTGCTTCATTTGCTGGGCCATCAGGCCCCCCCATGTTTATTCCGCTGCCCCTGCACGTTAGCACAGGGTCAGTGACTGCACCGGGGGTTCCCCAGCACAGCAGGCCTCCGAATTGGAACTAGTGGGCTCAGAGGGAGGTGCACGTCCCGTAACTCCACATTCTCCAGCAAACGCCACTGGACAGAGGACTGTGTCAGATGGCCCTAGGCCCCTTCCAGCCTTGCGATTCTAGGATTCTACGATAATCTTTGCAAATGTTCCAATTTGGTCTTTATGCAGCCCAGGCTGGTATTAAAATTTGAGGCTGTGTCCCCTGAGCTCATCATGAGGCCGGGCTGTGGGGCGGGAGCAGGGTCAGGGAGGTGGGGCAACCGCAAGGCAAAACCAGCTTGAGATGAAGTATTTGCTGCGGCTGATCCACTGTGGGGACCATTGCCACCTCCTCACAGAGAACAGCGATGTCCTTCCCACTCCGGCAGGCCTTTCCCTTTCCAAGCACGTGCCTTCACATTCCTCACTTTTCTCCGGCCTCTTGTACATGCTAGCACAGGAGAGGGCAGGATTAAAATCTCCGCATTTGACACAGGCAAAATGATGGCCGTCCTCCCAAAGAGTTGCACTGAGGCCAGGTCCTGAGGGCTCTGGGGAGCAGGGACCCCGACTCTCCCTCTGACCTGCGTGTGGGGCCTGTGCCCAGGGTGCCTCGTCCAGCCTGGTGGTGAAGTTTGCTGACACAGAGAAGGAGCGAGGTCTCCGCCGAATGCAGCAAGTGGCCACGCAGCTGGGCATGTTCAGCCCCATCGCCCTCCAGTTTGGAGCCTACAGCGCCTACACCCAGGCCGTGAGCGCTGCCCCTGGCTCTGGACCCCTGTCCCTCCTGGCCTTCTGTTTCCTGCCCCCACCCTCCCAATGCCAAGCCCAGGGTTGGGAGGGAGCCAGGCCAGGGTGCAGGGGGCCTGGTCCCATGCTCCTCTCTCCCCCTGCCCCCAGCTGATGCAGCAGCAGGCAGCCCTGGTAGCGGCGCACAGTGCCTACCTCAGCCCCATGGCCACCATGGCTGCCGTGCAGATGCAGCACATGGCCGCCATCAATGCCAATGGCCTCATCGCCACCCCCATCACCCCATCCTCAGGTAAGGCCTGCGAGGCAGGGCAAGGGCACTAGGGAGGGGGGCGGTGGGGAGGGGGCACAGCACATTGCTCAGGGAAGCCGCGGGGTCTGGGAGGGGTTCAGGGGTCAGAGAGTGGCCTGCTTCCTCCCCTCTGCCCTCAGACTTGCTGACTGGTTCTCTGCGTCTGTGTGTGTCTGCTTCTCTGCTCTGTCTCTGACTCTGTCTCTGTCACTTTCTCCCCCCCAGGAACCAGCACCCCTCCTGCCATCGCTGCCACGCCTGTCTCTGCCATCCCTGCTGCCCTGGGCGTCAACGGCTACAGCCCGGTGCCCACCCAGCCCACTGGGCAGCCTGCCCCTGATGCTCTGTATCCCAACGGGGTTCATCCTTACCCAGGTGGGGCTCTTTGCCTGCCCACCTCTGACCCAGCAACCATCCAAGCTACCAGCCCACTGGGGCAGCCAGGACACACCTTCCCTCTCCAGCCTTCAGGCACTTTCTCCTGCCCTGTCACTCTGGCAGGGATGCTCCTTCCCATTCTCCTGGCCAGGGAAGCTGAAGCTTAGAGGGGTGAAGCAACTTGCCCAAGGTTGCCGGCCAGCCAGACTCCAGTCTTCCCAACGCTCCCTCCTCCCACTGCTTTGTGCATTTCCACCTTCTCACTTCACACCCTGTGCCCAGAGAGGCTGTCCTCCCCCCTGCCCAGCCTCTGCTCGAGAGGTGCCAGTGGGGCTCCCGCTGCGTCCCAGGCCCACTCTCATGGTCCGTGCTGCTCTCCCCAGCCCAGAGCCCCGCAGCCCCTGTGGACCCCCTGCAGCAGGCCTACGCAGGGATGCAGCACTATACAGGTGAGGCACCCTGCTCAGGCGGGAGGGATGGCAAGAGGGAAAGAGGCCCAGAAACTGGGTCTGGACTTCTTGGCTCCCTGCCAACCACCCCCTCCAGGCTTTCCTGGGAAACTGTACCTGTGAGGATGGACCTTTAGGGGCAGCATATCCAGGGGTCTAAGGCAGCTCTTTCCTGGCATGGGCTCGGGGAAGGGACATAGGGTTGTTGGGAGGGCCCAGGAGTCAGGGAAGCCCCATTGGCTCCCTCTGTTCTCCCTGCCCCAGCAGCCTACCCGGCAGCCTACAGCCTGGTTGCACCTGCGTTCCCGCAGCCTCCAGCCCTGGTTGCCCAGCAGCCTCCGCCACCCCCTCAGCAGCAGCAGCAGCAACAACAACAGCAGCAGCAGCAGCAAAGAGAAGGTGCTGGTCTGGGGCAGGGTCCTCATAGCTGAGAGCCTCCAGGGATAGGAATGCCTTTCGTGTGGGATGAGGGACTCCTTATTGCCTGCACGAAGCCCAGCTCTTGCCTGTGTGGGGGGCTGAAAGCAAGTGGGGTGGAGGTGGCTGGAGCCCACATTGTTGGGGACTGGCGTTGGAGAGTCCCCCAGCATCTCCTTTTCCTGGGGTGGAGTTTGTGTCTTCCAATCACTGAGCTCTTCCTTCTGTCTCTGCTGCCACCCAGGCCCTGACGGCTGCAACATCTTCATCTACCACCTACCCCAGGAGTTCACTGACTCAGAGATCCTTCAGATGTTTGTCCCCTTTGGCCACGTCATCTCAGCCAAAGTCTTTGTTGACCGGGCCACCAATCAGAGCAAATGTTTTGGTAAGAGTATGATGAACCAAAAGACAAAATATGGTACGTTTTTTGCCAAACTCCAAATTAGGACAAGGTCTAATACATTTGAAGGCATTTATGGTCACAATGGACCCAATATTTGAAATCCTGATTGTCCAAGAATATGAAAGAACCATTTCTGACCCACCCAACATCCCATAGCAGTTTCTGCCCAGACCTTCTCTTCCTCCAGAAAACCATAGCTTCATCTTCCCTCCGTGAGAACTGGCCAAATTCATGCTCCATGAGGTCTGAGACAGTCTCACCATCTGGGGATGTTTGGTTTTCAAAAGGAAGGCAGCTTAGGGAGAAGGTTTTCGCTGCTTTCACATCTTTAATAGGCTGCTTCGGGGAGAGAGGAAACTTTCCTACCTGCCCTGCTTCAGAAGCCACTGGAGGGTCTGGAAGTGGCAGTTTTCAAAAGGCAGATTCAGAGCTAAAGAGACTTTGAGTCAGTGGCCGCCCTGCAAAAATTGCTGGAAAGAATGTCCTAGTTTGTGTGAGTGACTGGCCTGGATTCACTCATTCACTCTGCCGATCGACAGATCCTTCCCAGATGCCTACTCTGTGCAAGGCGGTTATCTGGGCATTGGGACACCTGCAGGAAGTAGGGTGGTGCTGGGAAACCAAAGAACGGGTCCTGGCCCTCAGCACGGGAGGGCGAGGTGGGGCTGGGCCAGGCCTCACGCCCCTCTCACCTCAGGCTTTGTGAGTTTCGACAATCCGGCCAGTGCCCAGGCTGCCATCCAGGCCATGAATGGTTTCCAGATCGGCATGAAGCGCCTCAAAGTCCAGCTAAAGCGGCCTAAGGATGCCAACCGGCCCTACTGAGGGCCCCAGGTGGGTCCTGCTCCTGTCTTGTGCCCTCCCTCTCCAGTCCCTGAACGCTGCAGCTAGGGCCCTCGATTGGTCTGCCCCTTCATCTTCCTCCCCCTCAGGCTGCCCACCCCACCCCACCCTGACTCTGAGCACTTGGAGCAGGAATCTGGGGCAGATTTTCACTCATCTGAGCCACCGTCTCTCTCTCTTTCGTACACACACATACACACCCACACACGGTGACCCCAGAAAGCCAAGTCTGTATACATCTCTAGATGTCCAGTCCCTAGTCATCCAGTCCCTAGATCTTCCACAACATCTGGTCTGTTTGTCTGGTCAGTGTCCATATGTCTGTGTGTCTCTCTCTTTCTGGTTTTCCTTTGGGTTGGAGTGGAATTAGGGGAGTAGGATTTTAGGAGTGAGGGTACTGGAGGGTACTGGAGGGTACATAGAATCACTGGCTCCTGGAATCCCAGTTCTCCCAAGAAGTGGGGAAATCAGGTCCTTGCTGCCCTGGACTTCGGGTGACCTTTCTTATGTAGCAGTAGACCCCAGGGCAGTAGAGTGCACAGGACAGACTGGGGGGAGCCCAATCTCCAGGCCTCTTGGGAGTCGCTTTGGTATAGGTGGAAGAGGTTGAAAGGTTGCACGGCCTGTGAATCTACTCATCACGTCCCCCCACCCCATTGCCTGCCACCTCCCCAACCTCATGGCCACAGAACTGTGAGCCTTGGTTACTTTTGCATTATTTAATCTCCTTTGGACCAAACCCTTGAAAAAACACAACCCAAGAAAAATACCCACATTTTCTGTTTCTCCCCTTTCCCCCCAATCCTGGCTGCTTAACTCCCCCCGCCCTGGGGGCCCCCCCAGCCCAGGGCCCGTGTCCATTGTCGGACGAAGCCCCCATCCCCGGACCCCTGCTCCGGGCCCCTGTAAGTTGCATGGAACGAGCGTGTTGTCTTTGGAGCCGATTGTTTGTTATTTGGGGAGGGGGCCGCGGAGGGAAGCGCCCCCCCAGCCCGAGGTCAGGGCCGGGGGCAGCTCGCGGGATGTGCTTGGTCAACAGTGGTTGGTGACTGTGGTCTGTGTTCTGTGCACTTCTCTTTTGCTTTCTTTGCTCCTTTCCAAAAAGGAATAAGGGCACAACCTAGGGGCTGGGAGGGGTCTCGCTCCAGGAGACTCCACCCCCAAGCCCGGTCCTGGGTTCCACCCGGCCTTCTCGGCGGATGCTCCCTTTCTCTTTTTCCAGGTGTCTGTCTCCTACATGCACCCCTTCTCCTTTCTCTTAGTTACCTCTGCCTGCTGTTTGTTGTCTCAGTTCTTTGCCTCTCTGCATCTAGGTCTCCGTCTCTGTATCTTCCAGTCTTTATTTTTCTCATGGCTGTTTGACTATTTCCTTCCTAACATCCTTTGATTTCTTGTATCGTCTGCCCCCTCCCTCCTGTGTCCTCTATCCCTGCCCTTTACTCTCATGGCTGGGGGGTGTGGGGTGCTGATGGGTCCCTTGGGACTCAGGCCTTTCTGGTGACCTGCCTTTCCATCCTAGACACTGCCACCCACCCCAGCTACCTCCCCTCCTCCAGAGCCTGTGACCTGCATCGCTGTCCTCTTCCCCGTGCTTCATTCGTGTTTCTTTCCTTCACAGGTCTGGAGATGCTAGAGGAAGGGGCACCTCGCACCCTCTTCCCACGATTGGCCCCAGCCCTCTCTGCACATCTGCCCTGGGCCTTGATTGGCCTCTGGGGCAAAAGCTGCTTCATGGCCCTGGGGACACAAGACACCGGCCCACTCCACCACCCTGCCTCTCTGAAGGGCCGTGGCTATGCTTCCCTGGCTCCAAGGGCCTGTTTCCTCCCAGGTGCCCTTTTGGCCTTTGTGAGGGAGCAAGGAACAGGCTTGAAGGTTCCAGGGTATCTGCCTTCTGCTAGGGCTCCTGTGACGGGCCTTCTGTGCCCAGTGTTTGTACTTGCCTCCCCCACCAGCGGCGGCCTGTCCTACCTGTGCAGGCCCCAGGAGGGCAGTGGGAGCCTCCCACACGCTCCCAGCCCGCCCTCGTGCCAGCCTCTTCCCCGCGTTCGGGGTTACCGGAAGCTGGTTCTCACATTCCCTTCCACCCTCGGCTAGACGTAGGATATCCCTGAACCCCGGGCTCCCAGCCCTAAAATTCACTGCCTCCCCCAAGGGCCCCCTCTAAGGAGGGTGTGGGGGAGCCCTGAGGGCTGCCTCTCCGCCAGTCAGCCACAGAGACCCTCCTCCTTTCATGAGGAAAAGACCTCCCCCCGAACCCCTAAAAATGTTTACAGTCTCTGCTGGTCCCCTCCGTGTAAATACCACGACCACCCGTGCGTTACCCAGCCCGCCCGGCCCGGCCCGGCCCGGACGCCGCCATCTCTCTACCTGGGAGTTTAGACAATGTTGCCCTTGGATTTTTTCTCTCTCTCTTGAATTCTCCCTTTGCTTTGGGGGGTAATTGGGTATTTGGGAGGAGGGGTGTGGGGAGGGCTAAAGGGGTTTATTACCTGATCATTTTCTTTAGGAAGAAGTTTTAGGGAAAAGAAAATGGGGTGGGGGTGGGAATTAAGGGGAGATTGGGGAGTCAGTTTCAGACCATTCTCTATGCTTAACTTATTTATTTATTGCATTTTACTTTTAAAGAGTTGGTCTTTTCTGTCTAAATAAAGAAAAAAGTTTAAAAGCATTAAATAAGAGTCTTGGAAGGCTGAGGGTAGGGGATCGTTCCGCACCCACATTGCGGAGAGGGAGGGAGGTAAAAAGAATGAGGTTTGGGAACGAAAACTCTATCAGGGAAGGCCGGGCCCTTGCTTTTGAGCAGTGTCCAGGCCTTGCTCGTGGCTTCCTGATCCTATTCTTCAGCCGATCATTGGGGCCTAATTCTGGAATGTTCTGCAGAGCTGAGCACAGGGAGAAGAGAGCAGGTGAGCAGCCCCTCCCCTGTATCCAGTCCTGTCCCGCTGAAAGCTGAGGACTTGCAGTCTCACCTTCCAGACCACTGTTTCCGCACCGAGGCCAGCGGGGATACTGGAAGCTGTTTGTAACACCACCGTTTATTAACCACTGCTCCGTGTGATTGTGTTCTAGGCCCTGATTGTGCATTTCCTCGTTTAACCTCCCAACAACCCTGTGAGGCAGGATACAATTTTACAGATGGGGAAAAGGAGGCTTTAAAGGTTAATTAACTTACCCAGAGTCACGAAGCCAGTAAGGAAAGCTGAACCCAGTTGGTCAGACGCCAAAGTCCCTGATGCTGTCTTCTCACCTGTTCTCTGACTTGAGACAAAGATCCCAAGAAGCGAAGCAGGCTGTGGCAGTGACCCCTTCAGGTAGAAGGTGGACTGCATGAGCCCTGAGACCCCTCCAGCTCCTAGGTTCTTCTCTGTGAACTGCATCAGGCCAGCTCAGAAGGGTCACACGGACGCAGTGTTGGACTTCGTGGCACACGGGCCATTTGCTTCTAGGCTGCTACCCCACCCTCATTATGTCCCTTCTTATAAAACTAGCTCCCCTTCCAGCTCTGATCTGGCTTCAGGACAGAGTTCTGTGTAAATACCCACAACTCATCCCCCACCTCCACCCCATAATCCTCAAGACTTAAATGGTCTCGAGCTAAGAATAGTTAAAAAGAGAAGGAAAATGTGAAGTGCTTTGGAGACATATCTGTAGACATCGTTTCAGGGAAAACGTGTCTCTTGGATTAGTAGAAGTCAGGAATGGGGCCTTACCCAGAAGGAGAATCCAGTCAGTATTCTTAGCCAAGTAGACAGCATCTGCAGTCTCAATTAAGTAGAGCTATAGGTGTGCAGGGGTGTGCTCAGAGATGGGAAGAAGAGTGTGTAAGGAGGGGAACAACGGGAGTTGGTGTTTAATATTTATGAAATTTCCCTCGAGCTATCTCAACTTCAAACAGTTTCTGAGTCAGGACAGAAAGATGGAAGGTGGATTTTAGACCAAAGGGCATCTCCCAGAGTGATTCACTGACTTGTGGGTTCTCTCCTGGGAAGCCTCCTCCTTCCTGGCATCTTCCCAGGCAGCACCTTGGTGTGGCAGCCCCTCCTGCATCATCAGTGACTACTTTCATTGTCTGTTTCTTCTTCTAAAATAATCAAGTTATGTTCAAATGTTAATGGCAGCATAAAGAGTAGGAAAATAACTTCTTGAGGCAGAAGAATGGAGCTGACATGTTAATAGCAGGGACTGGGGGAAGCCTTTCAGGTGTAGAAACGAAAACAGACATTCACAAAAATATCCGGTTAGGAAGACTAAGGTGATGAGAATATGGTAGGGAAACAAATGGTCCTGAATAAGTCCTTCAGTGTGTTCCCACCCCCTTTCCAGATTTTTAAAGCTTTGAAATGTATAATGTAATGCAAGATGTCTCTATTTCCTTTGGGGCTGGACCCTGCTGGCTTGAGAGCTGGCCCCCTGACTTTCAGGGTTTCCTTTGTCTTTTAATTCTCCTGCTAAAATGCCAAAGCCTTTCACGGCCTTGGCTTCTAGCATTTGTTACTGAAGGAATTCCCACTCATGGCGGAGATGAATTCTCTTCTCCATATCTGAGAACTTGAATAGCCCTGCCCTAAGCTCCTGCTTCTTACAAGATCCATGTTCTCTGGTCCCTCTCTTCGGTCTATTTTACGAGCAGTCAGCTTCCTCTTGTTCCCAATAAACGGAGTTTCCCACCAAAATACTGCATCCTCTCATTTACTCGACGAAAGCAAGGCCGAGCTATGACTTTTCTCCTGAACTCAACTTTGGTATTACCTTTTCACCCTCAGTCTTTAGTCATCAGTACACACTCAAGCCAAAATTTTGATCACACCCTTTTTCTCAAGTCTTCTCTCCAATCCAAATGCAAAGCCCTGCTGGGTCTACCTCTAAAGTATATGGCTGATCTACTGACATCTCTCCCTCTCCACTGCTATCAACGTTGTCCACGTCGCTTAAAGCCAGAGCCTGCAGTACCCTCCTCATCTGTCTCCGTGATCTTCCTC